ACAGAGTTAGGGCCAAAGAGACTTTAGGGCCACAGAATCGTTACTTAGGGACACAGAATTCTTACTCAGGGACACAGAACTGTTACTCAGGGACACAGAATTGTTACTCAGGGACAGACACAGAATTGTTACTGAGGGACACAGAATTGTTACTGAGGGACACAGAATTGTTACTGAGGGACACAGAATTGTTACTGAGGGACACAGAATTGTTACTCAGGGACACAGAACTGTTACTCAGGGACACAGAATTGTTACTCAGGGACACAGAACTGTTACTCAGGGACACAGAATTGTTACTCAGGGACAGACACAGAATTGTTACTGAGGGACACAGAATTGTTAATGAGGGACACAGAATTGTTACTGAGGGACACAGAATTGTTACTCAGGGACAGACACAGAATTGTTACTGAGGGACACAGAATTGTTACTGAGGGACACAGAACTGTTACTCAGGGACACAGAATTGTTACTCAGGGACACCGAATTGTTACTCAGGGACACAGAACTGTTACTCAGGGACACAGAATTGTTACTCAGGGACACAGAACTGTTACTCAGGGACACAGAATTGTTACTCAGGGACAGACACAGAATTGTTACTGAGGGACACAGAATTGTTACTGAGGGACACAGAATTGTTACTCAGGGACAGACACAGAATTGTTACTGAGGGACACAGAATTGTTACTGAGGGACACAGAATTGTTACTGAGGGACACAGAATTGTTACTCAGGGACACAGAACTGTTACTCAGGGACACAGAATTGTTACTCAGGGACACAGAACTGTTACTCAGGGACACAGAATTGTTACTCAGGGACAGACACAGAATTGTTACTGAGGGACACAGAATTGTTACTGAGGGACACAGAATTGTTACTGAGGGACACAGAATTGTTACTCAGGGACACAGAACTGTTACTCAGGGACACAGAATTGTTACTCAGGGACACAGAACTGTTACTCAGGGACACAGAATTGTTACTCAGGGACAGACACAGAATTGTTACTGAGGGACACAGAATTGTTACTGAGGGACACAGAATTGTTACTGAGGGACAGACACAGAATTGTTACTGAGGGACACAGAATTATTACTGAGGGACACAGAATTGTTACTCAGGGACACAAAAATTATTACTGAGGGACACAGAATTGTTACTCAGGGACACAGAACTGTTACTCAGGGACACAGAATTGTTACTCAGGGACACAGAACTGTTACTCAGGGACACAGAATTATTACTCGGGACAGACACAGAATTGTTACTGAGGGACACAGAATTGTTACTGAGGGACACAGAATTGTTACTGAGGGACACAGAATTGTTACTCAGGGACACAGAAATTTTTACTCAGGGACACAGAACTGTTACTCAGGGACACAGAATTGTTACTCAGGGACACAGAATTTGTTACTCAGGGACAGACACAGAATTGTTACTGAGGGACACAGAATTGTTACTGAGGGACACAGAATTGTTACTCAGGGACAGACACAGATTGTTACTGAGGGACACAGAATTATTACTGAGGGACACAGAATTGTTACTCAGGGACAGACACAGAATTTTTACTCAGGGGACACAGAATCGTTACTCAGGGACACAGAATCGTTGAATTAAAGAGTATGTCAGACAACACACGCAGAGGAGTGGCAGAGGAGGCAATGTTTCAGGAGCGAGCAGACGTGGCAGCAGCGGAAGGGGTCGAGGCAGCACTAGTCGCAGCCAGAGGCCAGTGCTCCCGGTGTCATCCAGCAGTCGTGTCTCCCACCGACAACCCTGCCGTCATCGATTGTTTGGCTCGGTCGTCTTCCTCTTCCCAGGTCACCTCTGACACCTACAGCCAACGGTCGGTGGGTACGTCAGACACAACCGTTAGTTGGCATGGCCCGGGAGCAAGCCCACTGAAATCACGTGTCCTCTACCTGCCCCTGTCCTTTGGTGTTCCCTCACCAAGCGAAGTATCGCATGCTGTGGGCTCAGCCCCACTGTACAGTGAGGAAGAGCTAACAGAGGGTGGGTCAGGAACGGGGGGAGACATCCGCCTCTTCAGCAGCCAGGCGAAGAAGTACTGGCGAGGAGAGTGGCTCGGTAGCCGGTCTAGAGACAGGTCTGTCTCCTGACCCACACGCAGCCGAGGGGGCTAGTATTGAGGCGGAGACCCTAATTGATGATGATGAGGCTGATCGCACTTGGCAGCCTCGTCGTCATCAGGCTATTGCTTCCGCATCATCAGGAGAAGAGGGTGGCAGCTTGGCAGCGAGCAAAACAGTCGGTGGGTTGCCCAGGAGGCAGCAGGGTCGCAGCAGTGTCAGTGGAGGCAAACGGCCACAGAGTAGAGCACCAGCTCCACTGCAGCCTACCACCACGGCCAGTAGTGGTGCCGGTGTGCACGGAGGAAGTAGCAGTCAGCCAGTGAGGAGTAGCGGGGGCAAAATTTCCTACTCGGCGGTAGCCGGCCCGAGGATGTGGCAATTTTTCGTCAAGCGCCCGAGGAAGTAAACGTAGCCGTATGTCGACTATGTGGCCAGAAAGTCAAGCGTGGCCAGGGGGCCCATGTTGGGACTACAGCGTTGCGTCAGCATATGCAGCGTCGCCCATTCGGTGGCCTGGGAAAACCGTGATAAAGATACGGCGGTTCTGCCCTGCCCCAGCCCCCGCTCCATCACCCGCTCCGTTACTTGCTCCGTCACCCGACGTCAATCGCCCTCTATCAGCCAGTCAAGGCTCCAACACCTCTGCTGAGGGGAGTTGTCGCTCGTTGGCATCTTCCGCTCGTTCAGATGCTCCTTCTCCTGCTACTCCTCTTCACGGATTCCGTCAGCAGTCTTTCTTGGAATCCATTTCCAAGAGACAACAGTTTGCGAGCACGCACCCGACGGTGCAAAAGCTGAACGTCCTCCTGTCCAAGTTGCTGGTGCTGCAGTCCCTCCCCTTTCCAAGTGGTGGACTCAGCACCTTTCCGAGAAATGATGGCTTGTGCCGCGCCGCGGTGGAGAGTGCCAAGCCGGCATTTCTTCGCCAAAAAGGCAGTGCCAGCCCTGCATTCACATGTAGAAGAGATGGTGGGCCAGTCTTTGAGCATGTCGGTCTCTGCCAAAGTGCACGGCAGCGCCGATGTGTGGAGCTGTAACTACGATCAGGGACAGTACATGTCATTTACGGCCCACTGGGTGAACGTGGTGCCGGCACAGCCGCACCAGCAACTTTTGCCTCCACGTTTGCACGTCCTTGGTCCGGCAAAGATGTCCGCCTCTACCACCTCTTCTTCCGCCGTGTCCTCAGCCGCCACCCCCCGTGCCAAGTCCCATTACCCGACCGGCATATCACATGTGCAGGGCGCAACGGTGTCACGCTGTGCTGCACCTGGTATGCCTTGGCGAACGTAGTCACACAGGGGAGGAACTTCTGAGTGTAATGAACAGAGAAATCGACAGATGGCTGTCTCCGCGCAAACTGAAAATCGGAACCATGTTGACCGACAACGGAAATAACATGGTGTCTGCTCTGCGTCAAGGAAGGTTGTGCCATGTGCCATGCATGGCTCACGTGTTCAATATGGTTGTCAAGCGGTTCCTAAATCCACCATCCCACTGCAAGACATCCTTAAAATGTCACGTAAACTTTGCATGCATTTCAGCCATTTCCTACACCGCAAAGCACACCCTCCTTGAGCTGCAGCGGCAGAACGGAATTCCACAGCATCGCCTGATCTGCGACGTTGCAACAAGGTGGAATTCAACCCTACATATGTTAGACTGCCTTTACGAACAGCGAAAGGCCATCACCGATTTCCTGAAGTTACAAGCGGATAAAGGTACTCCCCTGTGTAACTTAGATGTCAGCCATTGGCAGCTCATGCATGACACCTGCCGCTTGCTCAGGCCCTTTGAGGAGGCCACGCTATTCGTGAGTCGGCAGGACTATGGGATGAATGACGTCATTCCTCTGTTGCACGTCCTGGAACAAATGCTGTTAACAATGGCTGGTCAGGGTGCGGTAGACGTGGCGCACAGATCTCAACGCCACATGACCCCTGTGGGGGCAGGACAGGAAGAAGAGTGAGGAGGTAGAGGAGGACATTGTGCTCAGGAATTATTGAGTGAAATGGGTGGTTTTTCCACTCAGCGGACAGGCGGAGTGGAGGAGCAGGAGCATCTGGTAGAGGAGGAGGAGGAGACAGAGGACCCAGACGCACCGTGGCAGTATGCTGTGGAGATGGAGGCAGGGAGTCCCTCGCATTCCTTGGCACAAATGGCCCATAGCATGCTCGGTTGCTTGCGTAGCGACAGCCGAATAATAACCATCAGACAGAGGGATGACTTTTGGCTGTCCACCTTGTTGGACCCTCGCTACCGTTCAAAAATGGTGTGGCCTTTTTCACACCTGCTGAGGGGAGGCCAAAATAACGTACTATAAAAACCACTTATGTAGTCAGTTGGTCTCTGCCTTTTCTGCGCCAACGTCCATCCTCAGACACTGTGGGGCCCTGTGCGCTCGCGTTCCGCTGGCATGGCAGCAGGGGAGGGGTGGGGTGGTAGGAGCAGTGGCAGCTCCACCAGCAGCGCTGCCTCAGTCTGCAGTCGATGATGAGTAGCTTTCTTCACCAGCGCAGTGGAGGAAACTACTAACCAGCCGCAGCAGCAGCAGCAGCATCAGGTGGACCTGGAGCAGGAGCTCAAACAACAGGCTTGGGCCTACTTGGACAGCACCCTGCCAACCGAGGTAGACAATCCCCTTGACTACTGGCAACAAAACTTGACCTTTGGCCCCAACTAGCTGAATTCGCCCTTGAAAGGCTGTCATGCCCGGCCAGTAGCGTGGCATCGGAGCGCGTGTTTAGTGCGGCAGGAGTATTTGTAACTCCGCGGAGGACACGACTGTCCACCCAAAGTGTGGAGAGACTCACGTTTGTGAAAAATGAATCAGGCGTGGATTAGTCTCGATTTCAAACCACCACCAGTTCCAGACACAACTGACTAAATCCGCCATGAATCATGCCCCAAACATGTTAACTCTGCCATGTGCCACTTTCAAGTCTCCTCACACTGCTGTGTGGCGTTCCATTTTGTCATAGGGTGCTGGCAGATTACGGGCCTCCCATTGCTGCTGCCAGGCCCGTAATCTGCCATGGCCCCCTGTACCGACTCCTCATGCTGCTGCCAGGCCCGTAATCTGCCATGGTCCCCATGTACCGCCTCCTCATGCTGCTGCCAGGTCCAGAGTGTCCTCATGGGTCCCTGTACGGCCTCCCATTGCTGCTGTCTCCATCGCCACACCTCTGCCATGTGCCACTTTCAGGTCTCCTCACACTGCTGGTGGGTTCCATTTTCCTCATAGGGTGCTGGCAGATTACGGGCCTCCATTGCTGCTGCCAGGCCCGTAATCTGTGATGGGCCCCTGTACCACTCGCCTCCTCATGCTGCTGCCAGGCCCGTAAATCTGTCATGGGTCCCTGTACGGCCTCCCATTGCTGCTGTCTCCATCGCCACACTCTGCCATGTGCCACTTTCAGGTCTCCTCACACTGCTGTTGGTTTCCATTTTGTCATAGGGTGCTGGCAGATTACGGGCCTCCCATTGCTGCTGCCAGGCCCGTAATCTGCCATGGGCCCCCCTGTACCGCCTCTTCATGCTGCTGCCAGGTCCAGAGTGTCTCATGGATCCCTGTAAACGGCCTCCCATTACTGCTGTCTCCATCGCCACACTCTGCCATGTGCCACTTTCAGGTCTCCTCACACTGCTGGTGGGTTCCATTTTGTCATAGGGGCTGGCAGATTACGGGCCTCCCATTGCTGCTGCCAGGCCCGTAATCTGCCATGGGCCCCCGTACCGCCTCCTCATGCTGCTGCCTGGGTCCAGAGTGTCTCATGGGTCCCTGTACGGCCTCCCATTGCTGCTGTCTCCATCGCCACACTCTGCCATGTGCCACTTTCAGGTCTCCTCACACTGCTGTTGGTTTCCATTTTGTCATAGGGTGCTGGCAGATTACGGGCCTCCCATTGCTGCTGCCAGGCCCGTAATCTGTCATGGGCCCCTGTACCGGCCTCCTCATGCTGCTGCCAGGCCCGTAATGTGTCATGGGTCCCTGTACCGCCCCTCCTCATGCTGCTGCCAGGTCCAGAGTGTCTCATGGGTCCCTGTACGGCCTCCCATTGCTGCTGTCTCCATCGCCACACTCTGCCATGTGCCACTTTCAGATCTCCTCACACTGCTGGTGGGTTCCATTTTGTCATAGGGTGCTGGCAGATTACGGGCCTCCCATTGCTGCTGCCAGGCCCGTAATCTGCCATGGGCCCCCGTACCGCCTCCTCATGCTGCTGCCAGGTCCAGAGTGTCTCATGGGTCCCTGTAACGGCCTCCCATTGCTGCTTGTCTCCATCGCCACACTCTGCCATGTGCCACTTTCAGGTCTCCTCACACACTGCTGTTGGGTTCCATTTTGTCATAGGGTGCTGGCAGATTACGGGCCTCCCATTGCTGCTGCCAGGCCCGTAATCTGCCATGGGCCCCCGTACCGCCTCCTCATGCTGCTGCCAGGTCCAGAGTGTCTCATGGGTCTGGAGATTGGGGCTCTGTACGGCCTCCCATTGCTGCTGTCTCCATCGCCACACTCTGCCATGTGCCACTTTCAGGTCTCCTCACACTGCTGGTGGGTTCCATTTTGTCATAGGGTGCTGGCAGATTACGGGCCTCCATTGCTGCTGCCAGGCCCGTAATCTGTCATGGGCCCCTGTACCGCCTCCTCATGCTGCTGCCAGGTCCAGTGTCTCATGGATCCCTGTACGGCCCCCCATTGCTGCTGTCTCCATCGCCACACTCTGCCATGTGCCACCTTCAGGTCCTCCTCACACTGCAGTTGGGTTTCCATTTTTCCATTTTGTCATAGGGTGCTGGCAGATTACGGGCCCCATTGCTGCTGCCAGGCCCGTAATCTGCCATGGGCCCCCGTACCGACTCTTCATGCTGCTGCCAGGCCCGTAATCTGTCATGGGCCCCTGTACCGCCTCCTCATGCTGCTGCCAGGTCCAGAGTGTGTCATGGGTCCCTGTACGGCCTCCCATTGCTGCTGTCTCCATCGCCACACTCTGCCATTGCCACTTTCAGGTCTCCTCACACTGCTGGTGGGTTCCATTTTGTCATAGGGTGCTGTATGGCCTCCCATTGCTGCTGCCTCCACCGCCACACTGTGGCTCCACACTCTGGTTTTGGCCCCGTGACTGCCAAATGAGTGAAGTGTGCGGTGATTCTAAGATCGACGGCACTCATCTGCATGTCATACTGACTGACAGTATTATTTTCTCTTCCCCAGCAGACTCCAAGGGCATTTAAAAATTAAAGGTACAGTGTTCTGCACTAATATAAAGGCTCTCTGAAGCCTAGAAACACCCTTTTTATAAGTTAAATTCGCAGCGAATATATTCGCCTCGAATCAAATTTATTCCTCGAATTCGCCGAATCAGCCGAATCGAATTTTTGAATACTTCGCTCATCTGTAGTCGTGATGCAAGTGATTACTAGGAAAAGGCTGTAATGGTGTTACCTTGAGCCCTTGTTCACATTAGCCCAGTGGCTGCGGGCTCGTTGTGGATGCAGGAATTGCAACTGTTCCCATACCCACAACCAACTGCAGCCATGTTGCGTTTCTCTTGCAAAGATCGTGGGGGAATAGCACCCCTATGCATCTCATCCCACAACGTGATCACGGGTGTGAGAACCACACAGAAATCGCATGGTCAAAAAGACCACAATTGACTTGAAACTTTGCACAGCCCAAGTTCTCAACTTCCCAAACATGTCCTAGAAGTTTCATAGATTTTGGTCTGGAGGTAGACTGTACTAAGATTGAGCACATAGCAATTCTCATGAACAGGGGGCGGACTGACAACTGATGGGGCCCCCCGGGCAATAGGGGATCATGGGGCCCCTGTGCCCTTGCCCAAACTCAAAAAAGCCTATGAATAAGGTACCAGGGGCATCTCATGGTGCCCCCTACTGACCCTGGGCCCTCGGGCAGTGCCCGAGTTTCCAAATGGTCAGTCTGCCCCTGCTCATGAATATATACAGTGGATATAAATAGTCGACATACCACTGTTAAAAAAGTCAGGTTTCTGTGATACAAGAAAATGAGAAAAAAAATCTCAGAAAAAGTTCCAACTTTAATGTAACCTACAAACTGTACAACTCAGTTGAAAAACACTGAAATCTTTTTTCGGGTGGAGGGAAGTAAAAATAAAAAACTAAAATAATATGGTTGCATAAGTGTGCACACCCTAAACCAATACTTTGTTGAACACTTTTCATGTTATTACAGCACTCAGTCTTTTTGGGTATGAGTCTATCAGCATGGCACATCTTGACTTTGCAATATTTTCCCACTCTTTGCAAAAACTCTTCAAATCTGTCAGATTGCGAAGGCATCTCCTGTGCACAGCCCTCTTCAGATCATCCCACAGATTTTCAATCGGATTTAGGTCTGGGCTCTGGCTGGGCCATTCTAAAACTTTTATCTTCTTCTGGTGAAGCCATTCCTTTGTTGATTTGGATGTATGCTTTGGGTCGTTGTCATGCTGAAAGATGTTCCTCTTCATGTTCAGCTTTCAAGCAGAAGCCTGATGGCTTTGTGCCAAAATGGACAGTTATTTGGAACTTGGAAGTATGCACTTCCCAAGCATACACCACAAGCCAAGAAACCCCCAGTGATTGGCTGGTGAGCCACAAACACACACTCATAATATTCCCTTATTGGCTGTCCCACACTACAGCCACTACACAAGGTGGTAGGGGCTACATAAGCTTAATGTCACTCACTTGCTTTGTGGGAGATCAAAACCCATAAACTTCTAGCACGTTTGGGATGTTGAGAACTTGGGCTGTGCAAAGTTTCAAGTCAATTGATTGAGATTTAGGCACATTATGGTACGTTAAGCTGTTCACATTAAATGTTTTAGCATTGTAAAATATAGCTTAAAGTGGTTGTAAAGGCAGAAGGTTTTTTATCTTAATGCATTCTGTGTGCAGCATCCCTCCTGAGCCCCCCTAACACTTACCATAGCTCCCTCTCTCTCCAGCTATCACCATTACTTTCTCAGTTTCTGAGATTCTCCTTCCTGAGTGGCTGAGACAAAGCTGCTCCCACTGCTGTCAATAAAAGTCAGCTAGCCAATCAGAAGAGAGGGGGGTGGGGCTTAGTCGGGGGTCTGTGTCTCAACGGACACACGGAGCTGTGACACAGCTCGGGTGCCCTCATAGCAAGCTGCTTGCTGTGGGGGCACTGTAAAGGAGGTAGTGGACAGGACCATAGAAGAGGGACCCGAGAGGAGGAGGATCCAGGCTGCTCTGTGCAAATCCAACTGCAACAGAGGAGGTAAGTATCACATGTTTGTTATTTTTATGCAAAAAAACCCTGAGCCTTTAGTATCACTTTAACATTAATAACTTTTGGTGTGATTTACCAAATGATCTGAAATTTTCAGAATATATTGCCATAGATAGAGTCTTGTATTGTGTGAAGTTTGGGGGGAATTGGTTAACATCTAAGCTCTTTTTTGTATGTTAAGCCACATTAAGCTCCCCAAAAAACAAGCTTAATGTCCCCCATTTTCATTGTGGCAGGCCAAAATCTATGAAACTTCTACGACATGTTTGGGATGTTGAGAACTTGGGCTGTGCAAAGTTTCAAGTCAATTGATTGAGATTTAGGCAGCTTATTACACATTAAGCTACATTAAGATATTTCACGTTAAATGTTTTAGTCTGTCCACTCATAGGAGAAAAATATTTATTTTCATATAATATACAATGTCTACAAACCATCACTATCTCCCTGATCTGAAGCTAAAACGTATCTTAAAAAGATTGTAAACCCTCACCTTGTAAAACAATATGTTTAACCCCTTCAATACCGAGCACTTTTACCCCCTTCCTGCCCAGGCCAATTTTCAGTTTTCAGAGCTGTCTCAGTATGAATGACATTTGCGCAGTCATGCAACATTGTATCCATATTTAATTTTTTTAATTTTTTCACACAAATAGAGCTTTCTTTTAATGGTATTTAATCACCACTGGGTTTTTATTTTTTGCTAAATAAATTAAAAAGACTGAACATTTTGAAAACAAAAACCTTTTTCTTCGTTTCTGATATATACATTTTGCAAATAATCTTTCTTAATAAATGTATTCTGCTACATTTCTTTGGTGAAAATAACCCAAATCAGTGTTTATTTTTTAGTCTGTAGGAAGGTTATAGAGTCCACAAACTATGGTGTATATATATATATATGTATGTATATATATATATATATATATATATATATATATATATGAAAATCAATTAATCCTGTTCTGATGATCTCATTTCTTGAGGTCTGAAAAACCCCAGGACAGTACAAATGCCCCCCAAGTTACCCCTTTTTGGAAAGTACACAATCCAAGTTATTTAGTAAGCGGCGTGGCGAGTTTTTTGAAGTTGTAATTTTTTGGAAAATTAAGAAATTAAAAAAACATTCCCCAATGTTTTTTTAACATACTGTCACCAGTACTGTACAACATCATCACTTACTGGTGACAATATGTAGAAAAAAGAAATTAAATTTTATTTTTGCTTTTTCATTTAATTATTTGTTTCTTTTTTTAGGATTTCTTTTTAACATACTGTGACCAGAGCAATACAGTGTTACCATAGTAACACTGTACTACTTACTACTCTGGGGAAGTGTTTTTTTTTTTTTTTTTACACACTTGATTGCTTATACCAGTGAATTTCACTGGTATAAGCAACCATTTTTACTTTATGAAATAGATGCATTCAGTATTTACCATTGCCACAGCTAATCACATGGTACACATGGGCTGTGATTGGTCCTGTCTGTACCATGTGACCACTGTGACCAATCACAGAGATCAAAACAATAGTACACAATGGATGGCATGAATGAATGCCATCCATTGTGTACAATTGTCATGTGATCTGCTATGATTGGTCACAGCGATCACATGGTTCCAGCGGCGGCCAGTATACTGATCAGTCATCCGCTGTGTCCGGTGGATGATAGGTCACACCGCTGTGTGGCCCATGGGGTGCAAACAAGGTGTGTTCTAGGGAGGACGTCATATGAAGTTCACCGGAACGGCGAGTGTCTTGTCCGGTCGTCATTTGACAATAGATCAGAGGGGAACTGGTTAAAATAGTAATGAAAAGTAAAATGTGTGTATAAATGTAAAAAAAAAACAATATAAATACCTTTTTGTTTTCTTTTTTTTTGTAATGTGATCACATTCCCTCTGTTCGCAGCTGCATAAGAGCTAGGGGTGGAAAAACAATAGTACACTGATATTCCCAGTGAAAGGCTGTGTGGGGGTGGGGGGGGGGTCAGGACAAGACTGATTATTGGAGGAGAACAGGCTGAGTTACCAGCATAGCTTGAGAACTGACCATGCTGTGTTCTCCTGCTTAGTGTGGTCAGTTTTTATTAGGCATAACCAGGTATTTAACACAAAGGAAGCAATACAAAGAGAACAGGATAATGTTTCATACAAGTACATAGTACATCAGGCACATATCAGGAATATGAAATGCTGGGTTTACATTTTCTTTATGTGAAATTATTTTTATACCTTCTATAGATTCTAACATTTTTTTCAACAGGTTTATTTATTGTACAAGCAATGTATTCAACAATGATACCAGTTACAGTTATTTTAATACATCTATATATATTGTGATTAGAGATGAGCGAATTATTCAAAGATTCGATTCAGCTGATTCGCCGAATTTGTGGAATAAATTCGATTCGATGCGAATTTATTTGCTGCGAATTTAACTTATAAAAAGGGTTTCTAGGCTTCAGAGAGCCTTTATATTAGTGCAGAACACTGTACCTTTAATTTAAATGCCCTTGGAGTCTGCTGGGGAAGAGAAATAATACTGTCAGTCAGTATGACATGCAGATGAGTGCCGTCGATCTTAGAATCACCGCACACTTCACTCATTTGGGCAGTCACGGGGCCAAAACCAGAGTGTGGAGCCACAGTGTGGCGGTGGAGGCAGCAGCAATGGGAGGCCATACAGCACCCTATGACAAAAATGGAAACCACCAGCAGTGTGTGAGGAGACCTGAAAGTGGCACATGGCAGAGTGTGGCGATGGAGACAGCAGCAATGGGAGGCCGTACAGGGACCCATGACACACTCTGGACCTGGCAGCAGCATGAGGAGGCGGTACAGGGGCCCATGGCAAGAAGAAGAAGAAGATGAGGATGAGGATGAAGAAGAAGAAGAAGTAGGATGAGGATGAAGAAGAAGAAGAAGAAGTAGGATGAGGATGAAGAAGAAGAAGAAGAAGAAGAAGTAGGATGAGGATGAAG